CTTTATAATTAACCAATAAATGTTTTTCCTGAGTTCTGGGAGCCATTCAAATTATCAAACTTGAGGGTGGGATCTTGGGAATACCTGAATTTGCCGCAAAATTGGATAGATGTGTGGGTAGCCTGGGGACCCAGGACTTGTGACTAGTGTCTGAAGTGAGGGTACTTTGTGGGACTGAGCCCTTAAACCTCTGCAGTCTGATACTAACTATTCTGAGTTAGTGTCAAAATAGGACTGAACTGTAGAACACCCAGTTGGTGTTGGAATTGGAAATCAGAAGTGATGTCAGAAACACCATTTAGTATAACATATTTTAGCAGTTATTTGATATTTAGAATTAGAAAAAAATTAAAATTCACAAGCTTTGCTTCTTACATTATCTTATATTTTCTGAGGTATCTCACAATATAACTTAATGAAAAATGGGCAGGTAACTTTATGCAGTTCAAATAAAAACATGACTTTTTTCCCATCAAAGTAAATAAATTAGGTGTCTACTATTACATGAAGTAATAAAACTTCTCAGGAAGAATACAGATACACTGATAAGTATTGAACAATTTTATTTTAAGTTTCTTTTCAGAATGTAGTCACATGAAATAAGATTGTGTGCAACAGACCAAAGACCACCCAGAGACCAACAGAGTCATAAAAATCATTCAAGGCAAAATTCATTTATTTTAAATAAGGCAAGCAAAATGTGGGCTTAGAATTAAACAAGATTTTTAAGTAACTTCTGGTTGTTGTATAAATCGGACAATATGAACATCAAATTTTTTACTATTACTGTACAAAATTGAAAACAAATGCTTTCCAAATTGTAGCAAAGTGAACTTCTCTAATACATTAAGTTTACAAAGTTACTGGCAAGTTACTTGATGGCATCCGAATCTTACAATACGTTCTCACAATGTAAATTTTAGAACAGCCTGAATACTTTCTATAAGCCCACTTTTCTGTCATTGGAAAAATATTGAAATTCCAAGTGATTTCTGTTACTTTAATTTTAAGAGGTCAAAATAACAAAACATATGTATTTTTTTGGTTAATATAATTCAGGTACAATGGTACTGAGGACAACACATAATTTTAATGAAACCAAATCTATTTGAGGAAAGGCAAATCATAAAAGTTAAAGAAAGGTAGAAAACTATTAGAATTAGTTGCAGATGTTTGGTGTAAGAGTACTTATTTTAAAATTTTCATTGGAAAAAATCTTAAAGCCCTTATTCTTTTCTGCTTAAAATGGGTAATGTTCAGCTTCAACAGTGGATAATGTTCTATCACCTCAACAATTAATCATGTCTCTACAGCAATCTTGTTAATTTTTATACTTGCCAATGTGTTCACGGGCTATAATAAGCCTTTGAATTTGTGCTGTACCTTCATAAATCTGCAAGAAAAAAATATACATGTAGGTTAATTATCTTTAGTACACAAATACTTCGATTTACTTAATATTTTGGAAAGTAGTGTAAGCTCTATTGTAATACCCAATTTAATCAAACCATATACAGGCTCTGTAATGATTCTCAAACCTGATTTTGTGAAACCCATGAAAATATATAATTCTGTAGAGATTAGTTAAAATTATAAAAAAGCCATTTACCACAATTTTGGAGGAGTCTTAAAGAAAAAAATCAAAGAATATCAACATTTTAAAAGCTTGGGAAATCCAAAGTTTGATGTTGCTAAAATATTTCTCTAATTATTCTGAACTGTGTTTAGCTAGTTGTCACTTTCAATCATTTTCTATTCTTACTCTTAAATCTGATTTCTTTTTCTCTTGCCGCCTAAGGAACAGAGTTGCTAAATAAAACAATGCTGGATTTGGTTTCGTTCCATTAGATATTCCTATTAGCCAACCTTCACTTCCAGTTTGAACTTTCTAATCCTAGCGATTTGTTAGTTCATCTCAGATAGCAGAGAAAAGTTAAATGGTTGCTAACAGTAATAATTATATTAATTACTGGCTCTAGGAGAGGGAAAATATCACCAGATAAACCTGTAACTCTGGATAAGGTTTTTTCATTTATAAATTGACAGGCTGTACTATGTCTAAATTTCCTTCTCACACTAGCATTCGACAATTCTACTTCTAGATTTCCAATGACTGGATTTGTCAAATAATTTCCTGGGAGTAGAAAGAAGCAAGGGACGAGATACTGCAGAGTATGGGTTATAATTACTTAAGCTACATGTACAGAACATGTGCATTTATATCTAATTTACTAAATTACTCCTATAAGTTTTTCTAACCACCAATTTAATTTGGAAAACAGAATCATCTATATCTGTCTCCTCGTGTTGGTTTTTTACTCTGTGTCAGTCAATTCAATAGTTGTCATCCATGATTCAAAATGAAAAAGTTTAATTTTAAATTTTTAGAAGGGCAAGGCGTTTGTTACAATTAGTTAGGATGTCAAGACTCAAAGAAGGCTGATCTAGACCTGTGTACATGTTTGTACCATTTACTTTGTTAGCCTATTCTCTACTAAGGCATACAGTTGAAGGTAACCTTCTTGTTTGTGTTAATTAGTTCTAAAAACTTCAGCTTTCAGACATCTAGGGTGTCATTTATTATTATTATTGGCATAAAATCCCTAAATGATTAGAAAGCTGTCATTTACAAATATTCTGTTTCCTAAAAAGCAATACAAATCATTTTTAACCTTACCTGGTAGATCTTGGCATCCCTCATTAGTTTTTCTACAGGATAGTCTGTATTGAATCCATTGCCTCCGAAAATCTGCACAGCATCACTAGCTAACTGATTTGCAATATCTCCAGCAAATGCCTTTGCAATGGAGGCATAATAGGTATTTCGGCGACCAGAATCAACCTCCCAAGCTGCTTTCTGGTAACTTAATCTAGCTAATTCAACTTTCATTGCCATTTCAGCCAACAAAAATGATATTCCTTGGTGCTAGAATTAAAAAGAAAAAGTTTAAGAATATATATTGACTAATTTAAAAGTTTTTCTCCTGGAACTTTTAAAAAAACTTTTAAAACTAATCTTAGACTTAGGAAGTTACACTCTGCTTCCTCCAATGTTAACATATTACAAAACCAATGGTATACTGATGAAAGATAGGACATTAAAATTGGTACAATACTATCAACTTAATTATAAACTTTATTCAAATTTGGCCAAATTTTACACTAATGTCCTTTTCCTGTTCAAGGATCCCAGACAGAATTCCAAATAAATTTAGTTATTTCTTCTTAGTCTTTCCCAGTCTGCTGTAATTCCTCAGCCCTCCTTGTCTTTCATGATCTTGGCACTTTTGAAGATTACTGATTGGTTATTTTTTGTAGACTGTCCCTGGATTTGGGTTTATCTGATGTTTTCTTAGGACTGGAATGAAGTATGCATTTTTATGAAAATACCACAAAAATTGTATTTATCCTTCTCAGTGTCTCTTTAAGTATGGAATCAATGTGTACAGCCTCTGTGGGTCAGGAAACTCCAAGTGGAGAAATTAATGCCTAAGGTCACANCTTAAGAGAATTGGCTGACTTCCATTGTGCACTTTGACGCTGTGTTTCAGGGTCTTGTTGGTACACCCATGTTTCATCACCAGTGATAACATGGCCTAAAACATCGTCTTGCCTCTTCAAAACGTCTTGGCAAACTTCGACTTTCTTTTGCTTTTGTTAATCAGTGAGCTCCTTTGGGACCATTTTTGCACACACCTTTCTCATGCCAAGATTTTCAGTTAAGATTTCCCTGTTTCGCTAATGATGTTTACTTGGTCTGTTATGCTTCTCACAGTCAGCAGACATTTTTAATGCACAATTGGATGACCTTTTGCAATGTTTTTGTCAGTTCTGCTCATTACTGTCTGCCTTGCCCTCTCTTCATCAGTGACACGTTCTCTCCCTTAGGAAAAATTTTAATCCACTTGTACACTGCCATCTTCTTCATGGCATTATTCCCATAAACGTAAAGTAACATGTCCCTGATTTCACTTCCACTCTTGCCAAGTTTAACAAGAAATTTAATGTTTGTTCGTTGTTCTAATTCAAGCTCAGACATTCTCACGCCAGCATACAAAACATGCAACAATAATGAACGCCACTCAGCAAGACACTGCCACGCATCGACACGAACACAGCTGTGAGACACTGATGTACCAAGGTTATGAAACCTTACTGAGCGGTTTGTACAATGCCATCAATGTTAAGTGCACGGTGGCAAGTTCGCGAACTTAAGTGTTATACCTCATATACACATTTTAAGAAAGGAAAAAACTATATTAAAATCACATTGATAGTAACCACTTTGAGCACCTCTTGTAATTGCAGAAAAGTTACTTGTATTCATCTTTTGTTGTCGGTATATATTATTACAATTTTAATAGTTTTTTTTCTTTCTTAATATGTGTATACATTTTTTTGGCACCCTCTGTATGTACATAGAGTCAATGCCTACAAAGCTGTCCCAGTAAAACTGCAGTGGTAACTGGTTTGTAGAGTTCTGGTTTTACAGGTCCCTTCTTGGCAAGCCAGGACGTAGTAAGTTTTGAAGACGCTGACAAGAGAAATTGACCCAAATTCTTAGGTACTACTGGAGAAACCTGGTGGAGGATTTCTTGGGCTTGGTTCCCTAGCCTTTAGATAGCAAATTACGGAGACATTTAAAAGTCCAATATGAGTGTCTTTATGAAAAGTTTCAGACAAAAGTTAATCCTGCCTCTGTATTTGCAAAGTAAATTCAAGAAGGCCTATATTATTGATTCTCTTGATGTACCCAGGTAAGCAAGCAGACCAAACCAAATACAGCCTGCCTTTTTGTAATCAAGAATAATTTTTTT